CCCCCCCCCCCTTCCAAAGGAGAAAAAGCAGCAGAAAATAAGACTCTCCTACACCTACCTTTCTAGAACTGGTCTTTTCACCTACTGATGGGGTGAAATCCTAACTCTCCTCAAAGGCTGGGAACCAGTGAGGAGCAGTGAAGGTAGAGATGAGTCTTACATGAAAGGGAATATTTCCCCACTGGTTTGAATACCATCTTCCTCTTTCTATACTCTAGAGCGCACACTTATCTGTTGATTACAGTTTGCTAAGTACCAACTGGCATCCACAGTCCCACCAGAAAAGTCCTCTGTTAAACTCATCAGTCAGAGGGCAAAAAGGCTTTTACTTGCACTGTACTAGAAACTACCAGTTGGGCTTTTGAGTGTATTGCTTTAAAATCAAGATAAGACAGCTGCCACATTTTACAAACTATTTTACTGAGGCATGTTTCACAAAATACAAAGGTATAACAAAACTTAAATATTCTCTGTAAGTTGCAATTTAGTTTCATTACAGCTCGTGTATTGAGTTGAGATAGGTTCAGTGTATAGAAGCATCTTTTAAAACAGGAATTCCCTAGCACCAGCATGGAAACAACATGTTTTGACTCTTAAGCATCTCTCAGAAAATTGCTCCTCTTAACAAAAACTTGATATATGATAAACGGACCCAAATTTTCTATAATATGAACTACTATTTTTTTTTAAAGCAGAGTATTATCAGCCACCTCCATGTTAAAGAATTACTGTTTAAAAAGGATGGCTTAATTAGCCTTTATTTCCATAATTACTGATTAGATGGGGTGTTTAGTTCTGCCAAAAGAAATCAACTGATTAAAAATATTCACAAAACATCAGCAGGAACCTCAGTTTATAAAGGCTAACCAAGCAATTAATGCTTTTCTAAAATACACAATTATAAATGTTTCTAATAAAACCCATGGTTTTTTCACCCTCCATAGCTAAATATGGGGACAGCTGAGGAAAAAATTTGCATCAAATGAGAGGGTGCAACAAGTTCTGTCAGACAAGCCTTTTTCATTTGCAGATCCTTTATCAAAGTATAAAATTTTAGTCTAGAAAAATAAGTATGATTGTATACAGTTATTGTGCGTGGAGACTTAAAGAGGAAAAGCACTGGCCATTCAAATAGCACAGGCCTTACTGCAGATGAAGATGCTCCTTAAAACCATTTTTCTTTTAAACTTATAACTTAACTAGGTGCAAAAGTATGGGAGCTAACATAAGAAGCAGGATGGTCTATCCACACTTAGTTACTGGCCAGGGACTGATGAATAGGTGGCTGGAAACAGCGCACATGTTCCACAGGTGTACTCTCTCCATCACCAGACTTCAAATACTTGTCCAAAATAGCAATTATCTCATCATTCAGGATCTGGAACTTGCGGATTCTCTCAACCATTTTCTTCAGAGGCTGTAACATCAAGCACGTTCAAGAATGAATTTCTGAGATACAAATCATTGATCAGTCTTTGACAAAAAGCCATGAGCTTTTCTGGCTGGGCTCAATCAGATCAACTGGCATTTTTCCTTTTAAAGATGCACTCTGCTTCTCAAAACTGGGCCCGGGAAGCCTTATTTTGCTTCAACCTATACGCATGCAGATGAAATGACCAATTTCTGCATTTGGTGCTAGACTGAGCTAGAACCTTAACCCCTAGCAAAGGGCACTGGTACTTCTGAACATGTTAGTTTAAAAAATAGTGGTTACAACTGTAGTAAGCTTAGTACAAATCACTGATTTTTCCTTTCCTTGCTGTGAGTGTAATGGGTGCCTTCAACCTACCACATTCTTGATGACCTCATCTTTGCCGTCATGCTTTTGTACTTTCAGTAAGTGGTAGCAGAAATCCAGCACATCAAAGCGACGCTGCTGTCCCAAAAGCACAATGATCATACAGCCAGCCCAGTGCAATCCATCTCCAAAGCACTGTCTGTAATAGTACAAAGGCCAGGAAAGTTAGAGAAATTTCATCTAAGACTGGAAAAGTTAAGCAGCCAAACTTTTTTTTGTAAGGTAACAAAACATACCCAGAGTACAACCCTACCTAAAACATTTTCCAGGCTGAGGTATAAGCCCCACAATATTCAGTCATTCTCTGTGCCATGAGCAATGAGCAGAAAAGACAGGTGGATGCTGAAATACTATTGTTTTAAGTGATTCCTAAAAGATTTGTTCACCATGACACATTGGCACCATGACTTTCACATTAACCAGTGCCACACAAGCACTTTAATTTGGCCCTTAACAGAGCAAAGGTTGCAAGCCTCTTAAGTCTTCTCCCTTAATACATATTAGCCAGTGACAGGCAAATGACAACTCCAAATCATACAAAAGGCATGAAGGGACCTTCACAGGTAATCTAATCCAACCCCTGCCTGAGGCAGAATCATCCCTATCCAAACCGTCATGTAAAAATCCATAATCTAACCCAGGGGCGGGCAGTTATTGCAGGGGGAGGGCCACTTACTGAGTTTTGGCAAGCCATCAAGGGCC